ATATATATATATATATATATAATTATTTATATATTATATGCGCGGTACTTATTAGAAAGCGCTCAATATCAGAGATAGAGCTAGCATATTTGGTTGGATTGATGTGAATTTGTGACCCTGGGTTTCACGCTTTTGCGATCGTCAGACAATTGTCTCCGATGAGCTGCTTTCGCTGGTTCCAGACTTCATGAATTCAAGCGCCCTACGAGGCTGGCATCCGGCTCTCATCCTTTCACTGTTGAAACTGTTAAATGTAGCTGTCTCTTCAACTCCAATAACTTTATATCTCGCACCTCTCGGCTGTGGAACTCCCTTCCCTATTCCTGTTTCCCTGATACAATTGTCTGTCGATTGCAAAAGCGTGAAACCCAGGGTCACAAACTCACATCAATCCAACCAAATTATATATATAATGCCGGCCTTCTTCGCAAGCTCCAGGGTTATGGTATTACAGGTCGATTGTTTGACTTAATACAATCATTCCTGTCAAACCGTGAACTGAAGGTCGTTCTCAACAGATTCTCCTCCAGCTCATCTCCCATGAACGCAGGTGTTTCTGAAGGCTCCATCCTAGGCCCTACTCTATTCCTTATCTTCATCAACGATCTTCCTGACGCCATAGATTCCCAAGTAGGCATTTACGCGGACGACACTACAATTTACTCCTGTTTCAAAATCAAGTGCCGCTGACAAAACTAACCTGGTAATTGCTCCGGTGAACAGCTTGCGCTGGTTCCCAGACTTCATGAATTCAAGCGCCCTACGAGGCTGACATCCCGCTCTCACCCTTTCACTGTTGAATGTAGCCGCCTCTTCTACTCCAATAGCGTCATATCTCGCACCTCTCGCCTGTGGAACTCCCTTCCCTATTCCTGTTTCCCTGAGAGCTATAATCTCCAACTATTCAAATGTAATGTCAATCGACATTTCCAGTTGCCTTGATCTATCCACTATCCTTCGCCTCATCCTTTCCTCTGTCACTCCTATCTGCTCTCGCTCCAAATCCTCTGTAACCCCTTGCATGCTAGTGGCTTTGCGCCTTGCTTGGGGTGAAGTGCTTAATATATATATATATATATATGGTGTCCATAAAGTTCGTGTGAATTTTTAAAATTTATAATGCACGCGAACTTCATGGACACCCTGTATACAGTGATTTTCCAAGATGTGGCACAAGGCCGAAATTAGGCGGCACCCAGTGAGGATCGAACTCACTACGCAGTCGTAACTGTTCTAGCGAGCCAAGCTTACTAACCATTACACTGCCTCGAGGTGCCCATGAACTAATATATATATATATATATATATATATTTATATATATATATATATATATATATATATATTTATATATATATATATATATATTTTATATATATATATATATATATTTTATATATATATATATATATATATATATATATATATATATTTTACAATGAATCCTTTATAAAAGAACAGATTAGTGAATTTTTCTTTTTATTCTTACAGTTGAATTGGCTCGATGTTGCCGTAACAGTTTCTGGCGCCATGCTCTCCATTCAACTATAATCTTCAATAATTTCAATGCAATGTCAATCGCTATCTACTGTCTTCCTGATTATTTTTTTCTTCTCGTCCTTTAGTAATGTTTCTGCTTTATAATTCTTCCGCACCCAGTAACCCCCTGTGTCTTCGTTACTTTACTGCTTTGCTTGGGGTTAACTCGATTAAAAAGATACGAATCCACTTCACTTAGTACACACTTCCGTCTTCAACGAAATATTTTATTACTAATACATTTCCTTGTTTCTACTTTCTCAAACCAATCGCCTAGTTCTGTTTGATTTGTCTAGTTAATCTTAACAAAAAGCTGTTGCTGTCATAGTCAGCCTCGACACAAATTCACTCGAATGTCTCTCCATTCATTAAATGAAATCTTTATCTGTCTATTTATATCTGTTTAAAGGTTTCCCTTCTTTCTAGTTATTCTGTCTCATTAGAAGAATCGCCGCCTTCGTTTTCTCATCTTTTTTTTCCCCCTCTTCTCTAATGGAATCTTCCAACACTGATGGTAGCTAACGGATGTTAGCATTCACTTAACGGGTCATATGAAACCGGAAATGTGTGCCCAACACGCGCTTCAGCTTCATCTAATCACAGGATCCACTTGTGACGGTAAACATGAAGGCCGGTCTTTGCAGATGGGCAAAACATCCCTATATAAAAGTTATTTGTATTCTGTGTAATGACAACAGAAGGGATTGTGCGTGCTTAAACAACCACGCCTCAACATGCATGCCGTTGTGTGTCACACGCCCACGCTCCGTTTCTCTTTCTCTCTCTTGCAGGAGCCAATCGCTATCCGGCACGTGACCAAGTGAATTAGGATAATCTTCCGCGCGCATGACTGTGCGAAGATGTGCATTTATGCAATTCTACATCGGGAAACATTCGCACGCATATACAATAACATTCAAAAACTGTGTGGTGTATATGAATTCGTGTAACAGTCATTATGAATATATATATATATATATATATATATATATATATATATAAATTCATGAATCATTCATACAAAAAACAAATATAGAGGTTAATGATTTAAATGGCGAGAATACATCATCGCAAACAATATAAATAAGATACACCAACCCCGAACCTGTATATGAATGATATGATCCCTGTTCATAAATTTCAGTTGCATAAGGTCTCTTTAATTTTTTACAAGATTTCGTCTGTTCCTCAGGTATGGAAATAGATTTTGTTCTTGTTTTTACTTCTCGGTAATAAGAGGACAAAGAAAATAGACATGTAATCCGAAAAAATGCTATGAGAAATGTGTTATGGTCGCAACGGTCGCAACGTTGAGTTTGAATTTAAATTTTAAGGTTGTGCGTTTTTGTACAAAAGAGAATTTCCAAAACAATGCGATGATGTATTCTCGCCATTTAAATCATTAACCTCTACATTTGTTTTTTGTATGAATGATTCATGAATTTATAAATTATAATTGCACCTATAATAAAAATAAAAATATATATATATATATATATATATATATATATATATATATATATATGAAGAAATATAGTCTTAAGATTTTGCTGTATTTATGCGATAAAGTTCTCAATATCAGAGACAGCGTGTGTGTGTGTGTGTATGCATGTATATATATATATATATATATATATATAAAAAGTTAATGGTCGAAGTTAAATTAGACCAGGAAACAGTAAAAAGATCAAAATTTAACATGTAGCGCTTTTAACTTAGGAGATCATCTAATTCCGCCATTTTGGTTTTGAACCTTTCGGTATCTTCAGGAGATTTCGGTCAATTGATTTCCTTACGCGTTAATTTTTAGAAAATAAAAAATATCTATCTACGCTATATTTAAATATAAATAAACAAATAAATGAATATGAACACGCCATGAGGTGTGGTAGAATTTGAGGAGGAGGAGAAGGGGGAAATTAAGTATATTGGAAATGGTATCTATGAGGGATTAAATGAAATATACATACTTTCTTTTCATCTGACTTCATATAAACTCAAAAGCAACTTTTTACTATGTATACAACCGGATATAATTTCCGATCTCAAATTCAAAAGGGTTTTTTGGCCTGGAAATGTTATTACAGCTAATGTTTCTTGTTGACAAAGTTTGCAGATGTTGCTATGATTGTTGTAAGGTGTTGCCTTTTTAAAAATTTTTCCAGTTGACAATCCGATCTTTTTTTTTAATTTTTCCTTGAATTTCCACACATTGCTGGCTAGGTTGATAGAATTTCTAAGGGTTTCTAGCTTAAAAGACTTTTGAATCAGAGATCCCGTTGTATATATACTAAAGTGTTCCTTTTGAGTTCATATATATATATATATATATATATATATATATATATATATAATTATGTATAATTATTATAATATAAATATGTTATAAAATCATTAGAAAAATAGCCTTAAATCGTCGTTTGAAGGTTGCACTTTGAGACCCCGGCTAGTGTTATTTAGGTATCGAAAAAAATGGCGATTTTAAATTTCATTTTTTGATACTCATTTTATTACATAATCCTACGTAGTTTGAGTCGTAGGAACATTTATAGCTGCACGATAAATGCCTTAAATCGTCGTTTGAAGGTTGCGCTTTGAGTATATTGAGTCTGATTTGCAATTTTTTCATCCCCAAGGCCAGTTGGAAAAGCTGGTATGATGTTTGTTTAACAACCTAACTGTCAGGGTTTCAATTCTCGGTAGTGGATGCGCACTGCTGATGAGTCCCAAATATAGGACGAAATAGCTGCCCAGTGCATTCTGTTGAGGTTTCAGACTCGATGAATTACTTATATATATGTGAAGATATTTTTAATTTAATAATTTTAACACTTTAAACTTTATTTTAGTGGATATCTACATTTGTGTAGACGCTGTGTTTTTTAACAGTAGATTTATTTATTTTCATCTACCGGGCTGAATAATCGAAAAATCCTTCCAACAGCACCAGCAACTAAAATGGTTGAACATCTAATTTGATAAGGAAATGATGTCTTAACGTTGAATTTACAAAGTATCAAAAACAAAAGGTTAGGAAGGAAACTCCCGCCAATATTAAAAAGAAATATAGCTGTAGACTTAAGAAATCTACCTTTCAGGGAAAAGATTTTAACAATAGGATTTTATAAATTTCAATAGACAGTAACGCTAATAGTTTGGTCAATGAACGTCGAGTATTTCTTATATGAAAACGGCTTTTTCTCGCCATCGCCATTATTATTACATATCATTTTTTCCCTAGACTTTACTTTTACGGTTTTCTCCGCATCATTTTCTTTTTTTGCACTTAACTGTCTCCCTAAATATATACGTGCCACGAATTTGTCTCATAATCAAAAGCACACCAAATTTGTCATCTGCGCACGCCTTTTTGTCATCCGCTTGCGTCTGTTGGTCGATCAATTTCGCAAAGGCTACGCGACTCTCTAGTCAAGTGGCAACGTAATTAGTTTTGGAAGATTTTTCAGAATAAGAGAGAGAGAGAGAGAGAGAGAGAGAGAGAGAGAGAGAAATGTTTTAGTGACAAAAGTATAATGCTGTGCACGTGCAGATATTATTTTTCAGTGTTCTTTTCTAACAAAATTGGTATTTGAGGAATGTTTGGAAGCAGCCTTACAGCGTACAGCAAGGCAAAAGAGACGAAGAGGCAGAAAAGAAGTGAATGAGAAAGAAAAAGAGAAAGATAAAGAGAGAGAGAGAGGGAGAGAGAGAAAAAAAAAGAAAGACAGTCAGTATATGCTGGAAGACGTGGTGAAAGAAAGAAAACAACAAAAGATTGAAAAGGTAGAAAGAAAAATGATAATTAATATGAAGAGACGAAGAGGCAGAAAGGAATTGAATGAAGAGGGAAAGAGAAAGATAAAGAAAGTGAGGGAGACAGAAAGAAAAAGAGAGTGAGTGAGTATATGCTGGAAGACGTGGTGGAAGAAAGAAAACAACAAAAGATTGAAAATATACAAAGAAAAATGACAGTTAATATGAAAAGAGACGAAGAGGCAGAAAGGAATTGTATAAAGAAGGGAAAAGAGAAAGAGAGTCAGTATATGCTGGAAGACGTGGTGGAAGCAAAATTGAAAAGATAGAAAGAAAAATGACAATACGAAGAGAGACGAAGAGGCAGAAATGAATTGAATGAGAAGAGAGAGGGGGAGAGAGAGAGGGGGAGAGAGAGATAAAATTAAAGAGAGTATGTATATGCCGGGAGAAATGAGAAAAGAAAGAAAAGAACAAAATATTGAAAAGGTAGAAAGAAAAATGATAATTAATATGAAGAGACGAAGAGACATAAAGGAATTGAATGAGGAGGGAAAGAGAAAAATAAAGAGAGTGTGGTATAGAGAAAGAAAAAGAAAGAGAATCAATATAGGCTGGAAGACGTGGTGGAAGAAAGAAAAAAACAAAAAATTGGAAAAATAGAAAGAAAAATGACAATTAATGTGAAGAATACAAAGCAGTCTCAACTAAAAAAGACAGAAATAAATAAAGAAGGAAATTAAATTCTAAGAACGAAAAAGAGAAAGTTAATAAAAAGAAGAAAAATATGTTCAAAGAAAGAAAGAAATTGTTTGAAAAGAAGAAAAATATATTCTAAAAAGAAAAGAAAGGGAGATATTGTATAAAAAGAAGAAAAATATGTTCTAAGAATGAAAGAAAGAAATTAAATAAAAAGAAGTAAACAAATCTAAGAATGAAAAAAAAAATCGTAAAAAAGAAGAAAATGTATATTTTAAGAAAATAAACTGTGTAAAAAGAAGAAAAATATATTCTAAGAATGACAAAAGAAAGAAAGAAATTGTATGAACAGAAGAAAATATATTCCATGAAATCAAACAAGAAAGTGTATAAAAAGAAAAATATATTCTAAGCATGATAGAAATAAAGAACATGTATAAAAAGAAGAAAAATATATTCTAAGAAAGAAAGAAAAAGCGAAAGAAACTGAAATAAAAACAAAAAGGAAATATATTTTAAGAAAAAAGAAAGAAATGAAAATTAATTAACTAAAGAGATGGAGGGTATATTCCAAGGAAATGAAAAATAAATATTATGAACAATAAACAGGGACATGTATGCTATGAAAAGAAAGAAAAATTGGAAACAATGAAGATCTTATTAAAATGAAACCAAATATATTGTCAAAAGAGAAGAAAATATGAGAGAAAGAAGGAAAACACGTCCTAAAAGTGGAATAAAATAGCATCTACGAAAGAAAAATATATTAACGAAATAAGGGAAAATATATTATAAAAAACATGAGATATATATATATATATATATATATATATATATATAATGAGGAAAGTGGAGACTTAAGCACTCCATGGTAATAATTTATTTCGAGAGATCAAATAGTCAATCTCGTCTCATCAGACCAAACAATTTTACAGTAATAAATGAATTTTAAATTTATCCAGGAACAAGCGAAAAAAAATTATCAAGCATAAGATGTGTTTGAAAATAGGGGAAGGGAAATAGATAGAGAGAAAGTGGGAGAAAGAGAATATAAACAAATACACACAACACATATATACACGCACAGACACACACACACACATATATATAAAACATAAAAAATAAATAAAGAGTATATATCAATATCAAAACGTAAGTCTATAAAATATAAACATGAATACTCCCCCTCTCCTCTCTAGACATCTAATTCATTATTATTATTATTATTATTATTATTATTATTATTACATTGAGCTCCCTTTGGATTTATATCATCTTTGGAATTATCCATAATAATTATCAAATAACACACACACACACATATACACACATATATATATATATATATATATATATATATATATATATATATATATATATATAAATATTGAGCCCTCTTTAAAATTAAATGCACGAAAATTGGAATTGTACTCTATTCGTTCTCATCGTAACTATATATATATATATATATATATACAAACACACACACCAGGTGTCTTAAAAACACTTTTGTAGGGAGTTAAAGAATTTTTATTCGCTATTATTTATGATTACTATTGTGGGGAAAATAGAAATGGCTTACCTTCCAAACGCCCTCGCGTCTGTCTGGCCTGTGGGTTGAGAAAAGAAAGAAAGGGTCCAAGACGGCGTCCGTGACTTTTTAATATTCGCGGTCTCGCAAGGTCGCGTTACACGCATGCTAATGAGGTGTGTCTGAGCTCCATAAAAGCAGGTCGCTTGGAGAAATTGGCAGAAGCTATTACACCCGTGTTCGGTTTAAATGGCTTTGTGTTAGACATTTTCCTACGGAAAGAGTTGCGTCCCTTACACTCCATATTGAATTTGACTCCTTTGCTACAACTATAAATGTTATTTTTAGTGGTTAGGCGTTTTGAGTTGTTATCCTTTTTATTATTATTATTATTAAACATGAAACTTAATAACAACTGCGCTTAGTGGAGATGTCCAATGAAAGAGAAGTTGTGCCGAAAATATGCTCTCCTTAAATAGATCATTCCAACTTTACACTGCCAGGCTGATTTCCGTGGCCGACCTGTTACACGGACACTATGCATCAAAAGGATAGTTCCATTGATTTGGAAAAAAGTGATGCAGTTTCGATTCCTGTTGCAGGCACAATTTTTGTTTATCATATTTCTCAATTGTTTCCGAATATTATTAATTTCACTGTTTATGGATAGCAACTGAAACACGAGTACCCACTAAAAATAACGTTCATAGTAAGAATATATATATATACATATATATATATATATATATATATATATGCATGTTTCATGTGTTCGTACAAGAGCTTTCTTTTCTGGAAAAGTTTTTTGCGTAAAAACTGTCCAAATGTATTATACTTATAATTTTAGCACACTTTAATATCTTAAAGTGCTGAAAATGTTCTCCTTCTAACTTGCAACATCTCCAGAACACTGTGGTACACAGCATGACACAAATCCCGATCTGAATCAATTTCCACAAATACCTCTGAGATGTACTCCTTTAATTATTCTACTGTGTGGGGATTTCTCCCATAATCCATGTTCTTTACTACACCCACCGCCCCCTCCCAAATCAATTGATGTTTTTTACTCTCCGAAGCCTTCCCTGTTTTGCAATCTAATTAAACAAGCTCCTTAAAAATCTAAACTCCTTAAATAGGTTGCTCGCTGTTTCCCTATCACATGCCTTCAACATGTTCTGTGAGTGTCAGATTTTCCAAGCCCGCTTTCCTCATTTTATATCCCAGAAATTTTTTTCTTTCTAATTCAAAGTATTAATGTCTTTTTATTAAGATTTCCTTAAGACATCTTCGTTGCTTATATGTTCAGTGCATAGTATTCTCAGTATCCATCAGTAGAAGCACGCCTCTGCTGGCTGAAGTCTCATCTCTGGAAATCGTTGAGCATTCATTGCTATATAGGAGGATTGCTGTTACATTTCAGTTGAGCACACTTTTTTGTTTCTCATTTTTTTAATACTTTTTTTAGCTTTTGAAGTGCATCTTTCGCTGCCTGAATATGACTTCGTATTTCGGTGCCACATCTGTAAAAAAAAGAAGAAGAAAAGAAACAATTCCCAGGTATTTAAATGAATGCAGTTTTCTAGAAAGAGGCCATGTTAGCAAATAATAAAAATACATGCGACATGAATACGCAATACAAGCCTATACATCGACACTGAAAAGGAAAACTAGTAGACATAAAATGGTTGTCTTTACACACATGTCTAGTACGTTGTGCCTCATCATGCGTCAGGAACGCATTTTATCTTAGTGATGACTACCAATAAACTGGCCTACGTAAGAACGGAGCTCCGCTGATTGGCCGTTAATTGTCACATGATTGGTGGTACGCAATAATTTGAGAGGAAGTGTTACACTTTCCGTAAATAATGGGCACTTTATTATAAACAATCTGCCGGCTTTGAACGCGTTCATCTTCATCCTTATGACCGATTATGGTCTTAGGGACGTTAAGCAGGTGATCAGCTGCCTTAATATGTCTCGGTTAAGTGGCAACGTTTGGATAGAAAGATATACATTCGTGCGTAGCATATTTTGGACAAGTAGACCTAGCGAAGTCCATAACTCTCCAAGTCAACGCGTTCAACTCTAGTAATTTACTCGCTGATAGATAGATAGATAGATAGATAGATAGATGTAAACAGACATATACTTCAGAGGGAGTGATAAACTCATGGCTTTCTTGAGAGTATTAATGCGAAATGAAGTCAAACTGTCATATTCCACGCAGTTTCTCTGTAGTCCACAGTCAGCTAGATACTAACATATTTATGCATTGTCATTACTCAAGTACAAACACTCACACTAATATATATATATATATATATATATATATATATATATATATATATATATATATATATATATTTAGTTTATGAAAAACCAGGTAATCCCTATGGGTAAACCTAAGGAGGATAAAAACCAGAGAGCTCAATGTAAATCCAGATCAAATAATTTTACATAAAAACAGACCACTTTTAAGGTTCCATAAAACCTTAAAGTGGTCTGTTTTTATTTAATAATATATATATATATATATATATATATATATATATATATATATATCATGAATTATTCATACAAAAACAAATACAAAGGTTAGTGATTTAATTGGCGAGAAATCCATCGTCGCGAACAATTTAAATAATATACAAAAACCCCGAACCTGTTTATTAATGAAAAGATCCTTGTTTCTATAAATTTCTGTTGCATGAGTTCTTATTATTTTTACAAGCTTTCGTCTGTTCCTACAGACATCCTCAGGTATGGAATAGATTTTGTTCTTGTTTTTACTCTCAGTAATAAGAGGACAACGAAAATATATGTATTGTTGTAATCCGAAAAATGCTATTGGAAATGAGTTATTGTTTTTGGACCGTGCTGTGCATATATATATATATATATATATATATATATATATATATATATATATATATCATCCATCAGACAGACTGTTTCGCTGTATCACAGCTCATCAGCTAGTCATCCAATTGCCAGAAGCCAAGATCGAAACGCGACTGATTTGGCATCAGTCGGAGATTCTTCCGCCTCCCTCCTTCTCTCTCTCTCCATATATATATATACATATATATATAGTGTACTTCATCGTTAAATGATGAAGTACACTACAAGGTATGTGGAGCTACAGAGGGGAACTGCTATAAGATGTGCTATCCCTCCAGTACTGTTTGTGATCCTGTGAGGTCTCAAACCAAAGTACCACTTCCTGCGGACATTTATGGATGATTTAACAATAATTCAAGACGATAGGAAAATAGTACATTTAGTTCTGGATGGACTTGCAGAGTTGTTAGAGTGGAGTCAGATGTCCTTCAAACCAAAGAAGAGCAGGTCACTGTTTATGAAGGAAGGTTCTTTCATTAATGAAGCATTTTCCATCGCAGGTGAAAAGATACCAACAGTGCGGGAGCAAAATGTGAAGTGTCTTGGAAGGTGGTATAACTTCCCTGTGACTGATCGTCACCGTGTAGTTGAAATCCAGCGACAAGCGGAGGTGGCTCTGCGAAGCATATACCAATGTGGGCTTCCCAGGAAATTTAAATTTTGGTGTATGCATTTTTGGTATTGCTGAGACTAATGTGGCCGCTGACTATATATGAGGTTGTACTGTCTTGAGTTGAGATAATCGAGAGGAAAATCAGCTAATGCGTACGGAAGTGGCTTGGTGCCGCGAGGATTCTGTCACCGGTCGCTTTGTATGGCAGTTTCTTCAGTTACCTGTTACTTATTTGGTGGAGGAGTAGAAAGGGGCAAATGGGGGATTGCAGTCCATGCTGTGTGAATTTAATGATACTGTAATCCGGGAAAATGTGCCGGAGGGGAAGAAAGGAAGAAAGTTGAAAGTGTCAGACGTGATGTCAGCAGTGGAAGGGATGGTAAAGCAGGCAGAAGTTCAGTATGTTACAAGGAAGGAACGTGCTGGGCTTGGTCTAGTTGAGAGGGAGCGAATCTGCTCAGAGGCCAGTGGACAGGAGCAACGCAGGTTACAGGAACAGGGGGTTCGGAAGCTCGAAGAGGAGAGACGATTGGTGCAGACTGTTCAACAGACTCAGCATGATCGATGACTCAACTGGGAGGGTATTAAGGATGTTTAGATCAGTTGGTTTGATTGGTGGCGTCTCAGCGCAGGACATTTGAAATTCCTCATACAGGCAGCATATGATGTGGCGGCATCAACCGCAAATTTGAAGAGATGGAGAGTGCAAGATTAGCCTTCCTGCCGGTTCTCTGGTGCATACGGAAACCTTCGCCACATACTGTCATCCTGCCCGAAGGCGATACAATATGGCTGGTACACAAGACATAACTTGGTTCTGGAGGTTGCGGCATCAGCTTCGAGAAGTGCTAGTATAATACTCTCGACGGACCTACGAAGATTTGCCTTCCTGAAGCAAGGGATGACTGACAAAAAACAGAAGAACAGTTCGGAGGACATGGAGAATGTTGGTTGATGCTACGCTGCCAGTCGAGGTTATTGAGTCTGGAATGAGGCCAGATCTAGTGTTAATTGATAGCGAGAAGAAACCTCTGTTGCTTGACGAGCTAAAAGTAGTATGGGAAAAAGGGACTGAAGAGGCTCATGTAAGAAAGCTGCTTCAGTATGAGGAACTGGTGGGTGAAGTCTGTGAGAGGGGGATACGGCTGCACCCTGTTGCCGTTTGAGGTTGGCTGTAAAGGATTTCCTGCCGCTTCCTTAGAGAGATCCCTCAAGTGTGCTAGTATCCAAAAGCCGAATAAGATAATAAAGACTGGTGGCGGGAAAGTGGTGGAAGGCAACTAGCAACATCGACCGGTTGCAACGTAACATCATCCAGCTGTTGCGGGTCCACCGTGTGGAGAGGTACTGAGCTTAATGAACCGGAACTTTGCTGAAGATTGTAGCTGGTCTGAAGCACTTGATGTGTACATGTGTCAGGGTTATTGAAAAGTAACTCCTTATTTTATGTATGATGGAATCTCCTGTCTAATTATAATACTTACAAGACTAGAGAGTCCATCATACATAAAACAGGGAATTACTTTTCAATCACACTGTATATATATATATATATATATATATATATATATATATATATATATATATATATATATATATGGGGGGAGCAAATTACCAACCGCATATAAACTATTCTTCGTCATGTCCAATATCTATCTATTTATTCATCTATCTATCTGACTCTTTATGTATATCATCTATCTATCTATCTATCTATCTATTCATCTATCTATCTATCTATCTATCTATCTGTTTATATGGCATTTACATTTATCTATCTATCCACTCATCTATGTATATTGCTTTTACATATAGCTATCTATCTATCTATCTATCTATCTATCTATCTATCTATCTCTCTCTCTCTCTCTATATATATATATATATATATATATATATATATATATATATATATATATATATGGCTGTTTATGCCTATCTATATATGAATCTATTTGTCTACTTGGCTGTCTGTTTGTCCATACCTATCTACCTATGGCTGTTTACGTCTATGTATCTATCTATCAATCTGTTGTTTATGCCTATCTATCTATCTATCTATCTATCTATCTATCTATCTATCTGTCTGTCTGTCTGTCTGTTTACGTCTATCTATCTGTCTGTCTATCTTTGTCTCTCTGTCTGTCTCTCTCTCTCTTTCTGTCTCTCTCTCTCTCTCTCTTTATCTATCTAGCTATCTATTTCTATGGCTGTTTACATCTATCGATTAGGTTGGTGCAAAAATAATGACGTAATAATGTCGTTTTTGACGTTAAAAATACGTTAAAAAAATGACATTATTACGTCATTATTTTGCACCAACCTAATATCTATTCATCTATCCATCTATCTATCTATCTATCTATCTATCTATCTATCTATCTATGCCTGTTCCTCCTTCTCTTTCCTCATCACAATCTTTGTATCTATTTATCATTGCCTTGCCATTCTCTTCCCCTATCACTCTACCTGTCTCAGTCTGTTTCCATTATGTACATCCACATGTGTGTAAATATATGTCTGTGTAACTCCATCGATATGCATGTAATTTTAAAAGAGGTATCCATTCATGATATCGATAACAAATTAGCTTCGATCAATATTAGTGACAGGTGGGCACCCTATAGCATTAGTTCTCTGCTTATCGATAACCAATAACTGTGATGGCGTTACCCTTTTCCTGTCTCCCTCTTCCAGTCGTATTCGATCTTTACTTGTCACCTTCAACCTTCTCGATGCAGTGTCCACCGAACGCCATGTTAATGCACCATCATGATGCCTTTCATTTTATTTTTTATTCTTTTGCCATTTTTTTTAAAGTATGTCCGTTGAGCAAGAATGGTCATCGACAGCTGTTTTTCAAAACCGCTTTATTAAGCAGGCCGGTAAACCTTCGTAGGAAATATAACTGATTGAAATCGAGCCAGATTATCCGCAATTTTAAATGAATTATAGAATAAAGAAAGAAATAATAATCTTTTAAATATAACTGAAATATAGAAACGGGTAATGATGAATAAACCGGTCTAATATACTACTGTGTAGAATGTTCGATCCTCATTGAGGACTCCATATCTGTGGTTATTTTTCAAAACTGCGCCACGCTTAGTAAATAAGAAACGAATAATAATTAATAATTATTAATACCGTCCACAAAAAAAAAAATTAAAAGGTGCCATTTTAGTTACGCAATGATAGACCTTCTATGAAATTAGTACTGACATATATCAATTATACAGAAAATCACTATGAATTAGTAAAATGATAGCAGATATACGGTGAGGGAAACAAATATTCGGACACATACAAATTTTTAATTTATTCTATTTCCAATTAATAAATAAAAAATACTTTTCATATAATTAACTGTACACAGATGCATAATAACTAAATATGCATAGAAAACAGCAAAGAATTGAATTAGTAGAAATAAATCCCATTTATCCATTTTAATGAGTGAAAAAAGTATTCGTACAATACAAAGAAAAACATAATCTTCATTTAATACTTTATAAAATAACCATTATTCACTTCTACAGCAACGAACCTCTTCTTGTAATTCTCAATTAATGATTAGTAAATTTTAGTTGGTATTTTATTCCATTCTTCTTCGCATATTGTCTTCAGATCCGGAATGTTTGTTGGAGTTCTCTATTGG